AAATGCTACTCTTCAGCTTGGGTGTGATTTGTTAGGCAGTCACCTACAAAAAGTAAAATGCAGCTGTGATATTTATACTCTCATGCCCTATTCGTTTTTTGTTTTTTTTTCCTTGTCTCACAATTCTCAGCTTGCTTACAGTTTCATCATGACGAAGGACTATTTGCTACTTTTTTTTTTTTTCCTTGTCTCACAATTCTCAGCATGCTTACAGTTTCATCATAACAAAGGACTATTTGTTACTTTTTTTTTTCCTTGTCTCACAATTCTCAGCATGCTTACAGTTTCATCATAACAAAGGACTATTTACTTTTTTTTTTTCCTTGTCTCACAATTCTCAGCATGCTTACAGTTTCATCATAACAAAGGACTATTAGTTACTTTTTTTTTTCTTTGTCTCACAATTCTCAGCATGCTTACAGTTTCATCATAACAAAGGACTATTTGTTACTTTTTTTTTTCCTTGTCTCACAATTCTCAGCATGCTTACAGTTTCATCATAACAAAGGACTATTTGTTACTTTTTTTTTTCCTTGTCTCACAATTCTCAGCATGCTTACAGTTTCATCATAACAAAGGACTATTAGTTACTTTTTTTTTTTCCTTGTCTCACAATTCTCAGCATGCTTACAGTTTCATCATAACAAAGGACTATTTGTTACTTTTTTTTTTTCCTTGTCTCACAATTCTCAGCATGCTTACAGTTTCATCATAACAAAGGACTATTAGTTACTTTTTTTTTCCTTGTCTCACAATTCTCAGCATGCTTACAGTTTCATCATAACAAAGGACTATTTGCTACTTTTTTTTTTTCCTTGTCTCACAATTCTCAGCTTGCTTAGTTTCATCATAACAAAGGACTATTAGTTACTTTTTTTTTTTTCCTTGTCTCACAATTCTCAGCTTGCTTACAGTTTCATCATAACAAAGGACTATTAGTTACTTTTTTTTTTCCTTGTCTCACAATTCTCAGCATGCTTACAGTTTCATCATAACAAAGGACTATTTGCTACTTTTTTTTTTTCGCTCATATTTTCTAACAAGAAAAGAAATGCTTTTGTGGTGTCATGGTATTTAATCTTGTGTCTCATATCTAATTAGCTCATCAAGTATATTACAAAATATATTCGTTGCAGGAGGATACTAAACAGTTGTAGTTTAATAATTGCATAAATTGTGTGACACATGAATGATTTTTTTTTTTCCTTCAATCATAAATATTTGGGAAACATAAGAATTTGTCTTTATGAGAGAGAGTGTGTGAGAGAGAAAGAGAGAGTGTGTGTGTGAGAAAGAAGAGGAGGCGATATATGTTAATGAAAGCCTACAATCATTTTAATTCAAATTTTTTTATTTTTACTAATATAGATAAGAAACAACTTATAATTTTAAACTATAAAATATGAACAGATGTTTAAGTTACTATAGGTATATTCTCAATTACTTTCATCTACTACTTATTTTTTTTTAACTTCATTAATAAACAAGGTTTTTTTATACTTATTGTAAAATTTTGCATTGAGGTGGGGGGGGGACATTTTTCTTTTCTATTTTTTTGTTTTTTTTTAATTTGTCAGTTTACTTTTTTTATTACATCTTCCTAAAGTTGTCTAGTTTTCAGTTGTCTTTGATGTTTACTTGGATTTTGCTGCAATTCTAAAATATTTTACCATTTTTATGTCACCAATCCTTTGAGCTATTAAGATGCTGCATTGAAACAAGTCTTACAATGCTTTAATGATATTGTATAACTGTGTGTCTTACAAAGCTTCAAGTAAAATAATTTACATGTTCAGCTTACTTGCAATGTTGTTTTTTCATTGTTCCTAATATGTCCTACAATGTGACATGTTGACATGATCCAAAAGACATTATCATAAACCTAACAAGAAAAGCAGAGTAGAATTTTTTTTTTTTTTGTTTTTTGTCTTCTATAATTAATAACTAAAACTCCATTTTATTGGTTCACCAGTAACTAATTCTGCACAACCAAGTGGTTGGCAACGGATCAGGCTATTGAGTTTTCGCAACAGAAGTAATACAACCAAAGACTTTCGCCCAACAATAACTGGTCAGTAATTTTGCCATCATCCTTCTGGATGCGTCTTTTCCATTCCACAACCACCCAATAAAAAATATCAAATTAAAAATGAAATAGATTAAACCGCTACTAAGTCCTCCTTCTATTTAATTTCAATTTGTTAGATTATTTTTCTCTTGAAGAATTTATTGCCTATGTTTGATGTATTTTAAGAGGCTGTTTTTTTTTTTTCCTCTTTTTCTCTCTCTCTCTCTCTCTCTCTCCTCCTTTTTCTTGTGATCTTTTTCTGATATTGTGGCTTCTCACTTAACTTTCATTTCTGGTTGCTTATTGTTTGCATATTTTCTTTTGCTATGCTTACATTGAAACCCAACTTTATCATTAAAAATGAATACATTCCCAAATAACCAATTAACAGTTTTTATAGACACAACCCAAACTTAACATTTTCTCTTTAAATGTGGGTGCATTTAAAAGATAAACAATTGTAATGTTTTGTTGTGAGTGACTGTTTATACTGAGATGCAAACCCCAAAGTTTTCTTTTTCCTTTAACTTCCTTTTTATTATGAACTCAAAATGATTGAAAATGTTTTTACAAATCCCAGTTGTCCATTACCTCCAATCAGAAAAAGATAACAAATTTCTAAAACATTAACAAGAAATAGTAGTCAAAGATTTTTTAGTTCATCCTTGCAAACTCGTGCCTGTTGTTTATTAACACAAATACTGAAAGATTCTTAGTAGCTATGTAATGTCTTTTCATGCAAATTTCTTTATTGAGCATCTACAGATTGAGCCAGTTTCTCAAAGAACTTTTTAATTATCAGTTAAACTTTATATTTTTAATGCAACAAAACATTTTTTTTATTCAATGCATTAATATATTAATAAAAGTTTCAGGACATTGGTGTTTTATTACATCAGACTGATCATCTAATGTCCCCAAAAATGTAGTCCTTGATTTATTTTTAGAACTCTAGACCCACATTTAGCTTTTCAGTTATATGTATTTCATTGCTTAACCAAATAAGTGAGACATAGTGCATTTTTTATGTTTATGGGATACCAGTTCTTTTTAGTTGATATTCTACTTACCAAATTATTGGTATTTTTGATAAACCTTCAACATTATTAGTTTATATGCTCCTTCTTCATCCTTCTAAAATGTAATATGACCTTTAAAGAAAAAAAGAGAGAAGTCATTTTTCTCATGAATAACTTTAATACATTTCTCTGCATTTCAAGTAAGACAACAAGGACAAAATGCCTGACTAGTTCTTCATAAAATAGTAGCGACAGTGATAGCTCAGTGACAGGAGACCTCGTGTTTTATGCTTTCATTGGTTAAATTTAATAACTGAAAAAAATAGTATGTGGATCTTTATTCATAGTAACTTACAGAAAATGGCATGCCACTTAGATATGCACACACACACACTTGATAATCACAAAACTGTTAAAAATGCTATTTTTGAAATTCATGGAAAGCAAGCCCTCTTGACAAGCTTTTGGAAGAAGCCCAGTAATCCTAACATTTACTGATAATTCTAACCTACCATTTAAATGATAGTGTTTCATTAAAAAAACAAAAGCAAAACATTTAAAATGAAAATTCTCAAAAACTGCAAGCCAGCTATTTTTTCCACTCTCAAAATTGCCAACTGTTTCCTTTGCATGGAAAATGCCAGTATTAAGCATAGCAAGAGCACAGTGAATGTAACAACCTTTTGTGAAGAATAAAAGCACTTGAAGCATTTAACTTCAGACAAGACTGCTCCAACCTATGTTGACTAGGTTACTTCTCTGCTGAGTAGACATCATTTCCTCCCCAAAATATCACATTTCAGCCAAAGACATTGGATGGAAGTTATTTCTAAAGTAATCATTTTGCCTGTGTTGCTAGCTGCATACATTCATATCTATATTGCTACATGCTTGCTAAGAATATACTTTAAGATTATTAGGATGTTTTAGAATGTTATTGACTTTATTATCTTTGTCAGAAATGGAAAATAATTTTTAGGTTGCCTGTTTAACTTCTCAGGAGGTTGGTTTCTAAACCTCTGAACCTTATAATCAAAGTAGTATTTGTATATCGGAACCGGTTTATTTATTCTAAATTTTACTGATACTGAATTAAATAAAAGTGAAAATGCTCTTTACCATGATGAAATAATTTTTATTTCTCCAATCTAGTGGAATGATAACCAACATTTCCAAAAAAATTTCATTAATATATCTTCTACCTTTTTCTTTTAGACATATCATATGATGGTGTTATAATTGTGCATAATGAAAGCGTATAATTTCATAAATTGAATATTAAAGGCTGATTGTAAAAAAATAAATAAATTTATCCTAAAGTTTATTTTTTAACATCTAACTTGATGAATTGGAAACATGAAAATCTTAACATTCAGGCAACTATGAATAGAAATTTCAACCTGGTTCTTGCAATTTTGTGCTGCAAAAAGGAATGGATCTAAAAAGGTGGGCAAATAATTTTGGTTAAATTTAAGATTTCATATATAATTTCATTACAGTTTGGTGCACTATGTTCAGGTTAAAATAAAATTCTTGTTACTTAAGAAATGCTTTTCCCATGTTTATAAAACCTTCAAAATGCAATTAAAGTTGTTGCAATTAAGATGGTGCATTTGAATAGCCTGATACATCTTTTTTCCTTTCTATTTTTCTAACTTAAGTAGAGTGTAAAATATTCTATTAGAAAATGCACTTTATCACCAAAGCTTTGATCCTTCATCCTTCTGTGAACCATCCCTAGTATATCCTTTTGTTTTTTTCATTTTATCACTTTCTGAAAGAGACTCAAAACAAAATACTTTCATTCTCATTTCACTGAGAATAATATGAGGTGGTAAACTTTTCTGCAAAATGGGATATTTTGCACAGTCGCCTCTAGCCTTGTGTTTAGGAATAGTGTCTCTGTTTTGTAGAGATGCTGGTACCTGTTCCACAAAGATTGCCTAGAAAAGTTTCTGGACCGAAAGCACATACATATGGTAAGTTATTTTCCCCACTGTAAAATGAACTTTCTAGCTTAGTACAAAAAAAAAGTCTGGTGCAGGTCAATCTTTTTTAGATACCTGCTAAAATTAGAGGTAAGTATCTTCTGATTGTTCTGACCTATGCTTAGCTCAGTATAGTATGTGGAGATATATATATATTATTTTGGACATCATCATTATATATATATATATATATATATATATATATATATATATATTGTGTGTGTGTGTCTTTTTCTTGTCACTTTGAAATGAACTGCTTCTGAATGAATGTTGTTGATGATGCTGATGTCTGTATGTTGTCTTTCCTTCTCAACTATTTCATATTTTTTGTTTTTAATATTTTTACTGTCCTATCTTAGAAGTTCTTTCTTATATATAAAATATATATATATATATATATATATATATATATATATATATATATATATATATAATGCTTAGCAAGGGAGTTCATAAAAAAGCCTTTCACTCATTATATAGTAAAGAGGTTTTTAGCTTACTGCTCCACTAATCTCTCAAGCTTTGCCAACTTTAAATGAATAATGTTTGACTAACATTGTGAAAAACTTACGGTTTGCTTAACTCTTTCCAAGACTAGGATTCTAATCCTATTTCTAACAATTGGCTAATTTTGTTTCCATAATTTTTGTTTCACTAAAAATATTAAACATTAATCTAGCACTACTAATGTTTCCTTTCCAATTAACTGGATTTATATATTTTAGAAATAATTTGTTTAATATTTTGACCTTTTGATTTCTCTATAATAAAATGAAGTTTTTGATAATTCTCCTGTATAAATATTATGAAAGACAAATTTAAAAAAAAAAATTCTCATGTCATTTTTATGCTCAATAAATATCAATATTAGCTAACATTTTAAAATTTTCACTTTTACAATTAGCCTACAATTAAAAAAATAGGCTACCAAATGCTTTCTAATATCCCAAGCCATTTTTAGCTACTTGAAAACCTGACCATAACCCTTTCCAAATAAACCAGCTCAATCTAGCTAGTGAAGCATATGGATATTTATTATATTTGGTTTCTATGGAAATGACCAAAATATTCTTGAGTGAAAATATGACTAGCATATAACTTATCAGAATATATACAGGAGAGAATTTATAAAGATAACTTACAAACTGAATTAATTTAAATTTGAGTTAATATAAAACTGGTAAAATTTAGAAATAAATTCAGTCTGGAAAGGGTGAAATTTAATTATTTTAAAAGAGTAACATTAAGAAAACTTCTAAATTTTGCATTAATTGGATTTATAGTCAAATAAGGAGGTTAAAATAGTAAATATCCTAAAATGCATTTTTAACTAAAATTCTTACACTCTTATTATATTTCTTTAACAAATTCATTTTTAGATTTGCATATAAAAAATTTTTTTAAAATTGATTTTTTTATTGTATTCTTTTTTACAAAATGTATTTTTTCATGTTATGTTTTAAGAGATGTTTTAATTTTTAAAATAAAAATATATCAAACATCTTTACTTGAAATTGGTTATCAACCTTATGTGTAATATATAATGTTGATATAAAACATCAGTACTAATGTTACAATACTGTTTTATTTTGTGCTAATACTTTCAATGAAATATTTAAGAAAAAGGCACATTTATTGAAATGTTTTTAAATATGTAATTATATTTCTATAATAGACATACTAAATTGCATTAAAATGTTGTTCCCTCATCTTGTATGTACATATGAATTCAAATTAAATAAATTTTGTAGGTGCTTAGATTTAATTCCAGTTTTTAAAAAAGGGGCTCTTTTTATCTTTGAATTTATGTAAAGGTTTTTATTCTAATCTATTCTATTGCTACCTTATAAAATATATAAACCTTTTTGAAAAAAAGCATTTTATCTTTAACCTTGATTTATAAAGAATATTTGTGGCATTGAGTGAGTCACATGTATGATGGAAATAGAGAAACATATTTAGTTTCTTTAGTAAGATGCAAAAGTAATAGATAACATATTTTCTGCATAATAGGTTATCAAAATTAAGTAATTATTTCTGAAAATTCTAGAAAAATTACTTGAATTCTAAAGCTGAAAGTTAAGACAAACTTAATTTTTTGTTATATAATATTATTATTATATAAATCATCTTTTTTAAGTTTTAATATAAAACATTCTTTAAGATTATAAAACCTTTGGAAAAATATGGTCAGTGGTTTTTATTTAAAAGAAATTGTGATTTTAATTCCTTGCTCACTTGTTTTTGTTTCACAATTCAATATTCAGCATGTTTACAATATTTTCTGTATCTATCGTGTTTGTTTGTTTTCTGTCTCTTTTGCATCATTACTGTGATGTTTATTGTGATTTTGTAATTGTCTGTGTTCTTATAAACATCATTTTGCATATAAAATTATCAGTACACTCATAATAATATGAAGCCCTTTAATTTTGCTCTTTAGAAATAAATGAATTCGCGACAATACAGAAGAAATCTAGTTTCTATTCACTTGAAACTCTAACCAACATTTCATTAATATTCTATGCTTAAAATAATCACATAACTACATGTTACATTTTAACTTAAAGTATACAACTTAAACAATATCATAGTTTATTAATACAATCTCAATAATTTAGCAAACACCATTTTTCCGTAGTACACAGGATGTACACGGTAATTGGAAACAAATTATAATGAAAAACAAAAAACAAAGATATTAAATAGAAAAATAGAATATATTAAAAACATGTTTAATTTAGGAAAACAAAAAAAGTTATTCAATAAAACTAGTCTCAGCCTGGGAATTGACTACATTACCCAATTCAGATAGTTCTTCTTTATGCTGACCACAATGGCAGCTTTCAATGAATCCTAGGTATCATGTAGCTGCTGGCCAGGCTCCTTCATGATGACAGGAGTGCTTCATGATGGAGGTGACATGATCATGAGAACTTTTCTGCTTTCATAAGCTACTCTTAGCTCATGTGGGAGAGAGCAGTCATGTTGTCACACCTGCAGTTCTCCAGCCTCTTGATCATTAAACCCAGCACCTTGATGTAGGTGGTTGCAGTGACCCTGAGGTACTGCAGGAAGAAGTGGTCCCTCTTTGCTCAGGGTCATGAAAGATGATTTGAATTTGGTGTGAGTCACAGTAAGTAGCTCAGTACTGTTCATGCATCGCCACCTGTTGTTCCTCTCATTTATCTGACCACTTTCAAAAAGTCTCCAAGTTACAGTGTTTAGTAGCTAAAATCATGAACATAATGAGCTTTTTCAGTATCGGATCAAGGACAAATATGTCCGTATATTTGAAAGAGAAATGAGGATGTTAAAATTTGGTCTCTGTTGTATAACATTGCATAAAGTTATCATCTATATATGGCCATTAAAGATATCTTAAATAACATGGTTAACTCTGTATATTAGGTTGAGTCATAAGTAATTTCCATTTTGGGAACCAATTTTAATGGCGAATGTAGTTGCAGTTAAGTTGCACACTAACATAGCTTAGTTTTTGCATGGCACTGGTATCATACTCTGTATTAAAGAATCAATTTCTTAACCCCCACTAATGGTGAGGGGTGAAGGCGAATTTATGTCCCATAGTGTTATGGGAGCTCAAACAAGGGAATAATGCTATAAAGACATCTTGAAAAATTATGTAGTGTTTATGATCAAAGAGTCATAACTGACTGGCAAGTACAAAATTGCTTTTCAAAATTTTGTTCTAGAGAAATGTTGTTGAAAGATTAACCCAGACCAAGGTGTTCATTGGACTTTGAAGGTGAAGCTGATGATGAAGTTCTTAGTAGAAAGTAATTCAGAGCAAAATACTTGCAGAAATAACAAAGATGTTAAATCCATCAAAATCTACCAGATGGCAACACTTAGAGAAAGAGAGGGAAAGTCTGAAAGTTATGTGTATTGGTTCCAAATTGATGAAAAATGGGTTATATACAACAAAATTCGACACAAAATGCAGTGGATCGACAAGGATAAATTTCTATCTCTGATCCCAAAAGCTGAGCTCCATCGAATAAAGGTAATGTTGTGCATGTGGTGGAATCATCAGGGGTATTATTCATTTAGAATTCTTAAAATGCAATGAAACACTAAATGCACATTTACTCATCCAACAGCTGCAACGTGTCTATAAATGTTTGGTTGAAAAGTGTCCTGTGCTCAATAGGAAACATCTTCTCTTTCATGACAATGCAAGGCCACATAACAGAAAGAATAACACAGGAAAAAATTTTGGAACTCATTTGGTATGTTCTACTCCCACCCACCATATTCACCTGACTTTGGAACAACTGATTATTACCTTTTCAGAACACTGCAAAATGCTTTGATGGGGAAAACTTTCTCTAATGAAAACTAGATTTAAGAGTTTGTTGAAAACTTTTTCACATCAAACCTGCAGGATTTTACTCAAATGGTTTGAAGATTGACCTATTAAATGGAAATATGACATTGCAAATATCAGTGAATATACAATTGAGTAAAATGTAATTGTATTTTATTTTTTTGAAGAATAAAGCTGATAAACCAAAACAGAAATTATAACTCAACCTATTATGATAATACTTGTTTGAAATACTATTAATAAAAATATCTATTTTTATTAGTAGTTAAAGCAGTGAACTAGAGGTTAAGTGGTCTATAAGTTAATTCAAAAGCATGTAGTTAATTGATTGTATTAATCAAAAAATATCATGCTTAAAGGTATAAAAGCTCAACTTAAAGAAAATAAAAAATTATTAAAAGCAAGAATACACCATTTTATCTGGCATATAACTATTTTGAATTTTTTACATACATATATATATATATATATATATATATATATATATATATATATATATATATATATATAGACATTTGGATCACTAACACACAAAAAAGAGAATGTCTAATATCAAGAATATTTAATATTAAAAATATAAGAAAAATTAATTCCTTTTAATAATATGTGGAAATATCCACTCTTTGCCTGATGAAGGTCA